CCTGAACCAATAGCAGCAACAGCAACAGTAACAGCGGCAGCAACACCAGCCATAGTAACATCTGCACAGCAACAACCACAGCAGCAACAGTAGCGGCGGCGGTAGCAGCAATACAAACAGTTCAGTTTTTCTTTTAAATAAATAAAAAGTCAATGTGTAAAAACTAAAAAGTGCGTATTTATTTGTTGGGTGGACTGTAGTGGAAACTTAACATAATTCAGAGAAAATCAACAACATAATTTAGCTAAACTGGAAGGATCGTTCTTAAAAATACATGACATAATTTAATTTAAATACATAACATATTAGGTATTTAATTCTACCTAATATTGAATGAGGAAGGAATATAAAAATTTAAACTAAAGAAATTGATTATTCTGAACAATAACAGCGTCAACCTGCAAAGGATAAATTGATTTTTTTAATAACGACTTTGGACTGTGAGGTACCTAAGCGGAAACACACATTTCTCTGTAGATATATTAGCATGTGATCCAACTATATGTTATCATAAAGTTTAAGATCAATTACAATTTCGAGCAGACTGTATGACTTGGCTGGTACCTTATTTGTCGAACTTCTCTTTCTTCTAATGAAACCTATTCCTAGTTTGTTCGTCTATTATTAACACTTTTTATAATAGCTTTTTGGTGTGCCAACTTTCTCCAACAATGAGTATATTGATTACTCTTCTAAACGGAAAATATTCTTTTCAATACTGTTAATCTCCATTGGTACTTGACTTTTTAAATCGTTTTCTGCAAAAAAAAACAACTATAGTCTTATTCTAATGTATACCAGTAAGTTGCTATGATGAATTGACGTCCAATATTATTATATAAGTATCCACCACTTACCATGTTCTCGTATAAAATCCCTGTTAAAGTGGCATTGTCCACTAGCTTTTTTTAGTTTAAATCTATTGAAACTAGTCTTACGACAACGCCCATTATATTATTTCTTTGAAAGAGTAAATCCTTTGCCGTTCCAATAAATTTATATTTTCAGGGACATAAATATCCCCCAAATCCTCAAAATAAAAACAAATTAGTTTCAGTAAAATATTTATTTAGTACTGTTATGTAAAAAATTTATACAATGTAAAATATAATTAACACATTTAATGATTTATAATAAATAAACTTTATAAAACAAAAATTACTTGTGTCGACTCAATCATTAGATTAAGGGCTCCCTTGAGTAATCTGGTTCATTGTTGTCGTTCTTGTGCGTATTATCCTTGGTTCTCCATGTATGTTATTATTTTATCAGAAGGAAAGAATCTTGTATTAGATGAAACATGTTTCAAGTACTTTGACTTAAGACTGCCATTGTACTTAGAAATGTTTTTATTTATTATTTTTTTAATACTATATTGGCGCAATGTAACTTAACACCGCCGTTGTGGTAGATAATATTTTATATGCCTTACTTGAACGTAACACCATCGTGTCCAGTGGTGAACTCAATACTCAGTTCTAACAATGCACCGTCTTTAATACTTATCAGCCAATCTTTTCGTATCGCAAAACCAAAGTTTTTAGTTTTGTTTTTGTCGGTGTTGCTTTTTTTACCTTTATTGTTTTACCTGGCGTTTGGTACTTAAGTTGCGCTGCCTTGGTATTTTGCGTGGTGTTTCGGTTTTATTTTAAAATTAAATTAATAAACTCCAAATATAAAATAAAATAAAAAAAAAATGAATATGATGTAAAGAACCAAAGTGCGTGCGTATTTCATTTAATTTAATTTATTAAATGATAGTTTCATTAAATAAAATTATTTGAAAATATTTTTTAGAGATATCGTCAAAGTTCACAGGACAGACTTGCTGTGAACAAATGTGGTAGATCACAAAAAAGGTTTCAGGACTACTCTAATGTATATATTATGCACAAGTCTTATATTTATTAACAGTTTCAGAATATTTAGGAACCTAATTTCAATTTTAGAATTTTTTCCCAAGATACAATTTTCATTTAAAATAAAACTCGTTAAAAAAATTTCAGCCAAATCGGAGATGATGATGAATTTTTACAAAAACCGTCCCGCTTGTAGAAATTGTACTATACAAAAATCCTATATTAAAGGCAAAAATAGAATCAAATGTGATAAAATTGTTCGTATTACAAAATAAAAAGGACACACGAAAATAACATATGGGAATAAAATCAACAATATATTTATTTGCAATGTAGAAATTGCACTGCAGACTGTATATGGACATCCAGTTACACGATACTTAGATTATTGAGTGATTGGATTATCGAGATTTTATATTATATAAACTTATATTTTCTAAATATAATTTGATAAGCAAATAACGAAAAATTCGAAGGTACCCGAACTTATCGACTACATAAACTTAACTACACTGTTTACTCTAGTTATTTCTTTTTTTTTCAATATATTTATTCTAACGAGGATTCAGAATAATCCATGTCATTAGTGATATGTTAAATACACTAATCGTGCAGAATGTTTATAATCCAAATTAACGGTCTATTCACCAATAAAAGTGAAGTTGACTTAGTATACAATTACTATACACATATAGAATTTACAAGGTGTACAACAACAATAAATTATTTAAGTGACTGAGATTTTTAAGGTTGTCGTTTATGCAACTGACCTCTAATTTTTGGTTAAATATTTTTTTTTTAAATATTCTAATAAAAATTCTTATAAATTTTGACAAGGTGTAAAATTAATTTAAAAAAAATTTGTTGACAACTTTCAGTCTCATTGTTGACTTCATCAGGGGTGCGGCAATCGACTCTTATTTTTAAATCCTGAAAATAATATTTATTCGGTATTAAAACCCTATGGAAAACATGTTTGCGTCCTACTGTTACGAGCACAACAACAAAATCAACAGTTATTAAACAAAATTAAGATGAGATTACGATTGGATTAGCAAAATTACTATCAAGGTTTTTTTCCACCGTGTGAAAAGGCTTAAAATCAATTGTAAGATTAAGAAGGTTGTAAAAAAAAACCAAATGACAAACAAAATTGTACAAACATTTTTTTTTCGGTTAATTTTTTACCTTTTGCAGTGTCTGCTTATTATTACCATTTTAATATTACAAGTTTTACAAAATCCAAACTACATGATTTGCACTAAAAAGTTTTTGAAAAAGCATACAAAACATAAAGTGATATTGTATTCGAACAAATTTTGTCTGTCAAATCATTTTATGATATAATCCTTGTAAAAATGTTTTAATCTATAAAATAAAAATATTTAAGTTTAAGGAGTTAAGGAGTTAAATTTCAATGTGGACATGTGTTTCCTATAATAGATTAAATTAAAACAAACGAATAATGAAAATTAGATTACTTTCAAATATACATTATTATTCAAAAACAGCAATACAAACTCTATTCATTTTTATTTGATGGTTATATTAAATTAATAATGCATATTGCTTATAATACTCGTACATTTTGATCCATATGTGCACATATTAATTAAATTCAATTAAAGATTATTATAATTTAATACAAGACTAAAGTTTATATATTATTATTTATTCATCATCGACTTAAGGACGGTTCTTCTTTACATATTTTTAGGAAATTTATAAAAATAAAAATGAAGTACAATACTTATATTTTATAATTAAACCACCAAAAAGATTGCATTTTATTTATTATTAACATATGCCACAATTTATATATTAAAAATATATTATGATAAAAGATAATTATTTTGTAAAGCATGCAATTATTATTGATACATGTATAAAAGCTTCTCTTACAGTAAATAACATAAAACAATAAAATATTTAAGTATTTCTAAGTGATTATTTAATCATTGCAAAGCACTTCGCTTTAAGGACGATTAATTTGATGGCATAAATAAAAAATTTTAAACAAAACGATTCATAAATAAAAAGTCGCCAATAAAATAAATTTGATCAATTTCGCTTTTAGTATATGCGAAATATTTATAATCTTCGTGCAAATATGTTCGGAAAATGTAAGTGAAGACGTTAATTCAAATCAAATCAAAATAAAATTGATTTGACATATTTTTGCTTTAGCTTTTCTATTCGAGTTATATCATATATCATAAAGTTTTAAAAAGCATTAAAATTAAATATTTTACCAGTAGATTTACTGTCTAAGCCAATCTGACTCATTTATAATCTACTCAGTGCTCAATGCTGTATATATAAAAAACTTAATTCATGCTGGTTTTTAGTTAATATTAATTTCCTTTTCCGTTTCTATCTTTTTCATTACTTATTAACGGTTTTGATATTTCTATTTTATGGCTTTGAGTAAATAATGCAATAGTTGCGACAAGGATGAAACAGAGAAGGAAACCATTTCATATTCGAGCAGTGACGAGGAAGATTCTTGTTCTATATATGACAGATTTATACATTATTAAACCAGCTAATGTAAGTTTATAGAAAACCTTGAAAGTAGATAATAGTGCGGACACAACATTGGAACACAAGCAACTATGGATTATATAAAATTTTGCTCAAAGCGTGAAGCTCATTAAGCTCATGCTCAAACTTATGATCTCATCTGTTGTGTCCAATGCAAGTTATTTTCATATTATTTTGTAGCACAATCAGTTAATTTTAATATTACTGACTGAAAAAACAAAAAGCCAATCAAATTCGAAGCTCTAAAATATGCGATCTTCCTGTGCTTTTTAAATAGGAAATTGAATACAAATTCAGTATGAAAAAGTGGATACTATCATAAAATAACATTAATAAAAAAAAAAATTTTGAAACAATTAGCATTTCGATTACCTATATGTAATTACTTATGAAAAGTATTTTCAAAATTATATTTATTTGAAGTTTAATTCGTTTAAAACATCTTCAAATAAATAATTTCCATCAAATAACTATAATTTTAAAAATTTTATTTGAAAAGCTAGTCAAATTATTTTGTAATATTTTAGTTCTTAAACCCTTGTTAAATTTTATTTTTCAAAATAATATTAGCTCAGAATTCGCCATGGGATTTCTAATTTTTCTACTTTAAAAGAGAAATTTATTATTATTATAAATGTCATTAATATATTAGTATTTAAACCATTCCATGTCATATTGATACTTTGATACTCAATGTAATTTAATCTTATAATTTTTAAAGTAAATTTTAAGTTTTATTAATATGTATATCTTTTCATATAATATTTACTTTTTAAACTTATTTGATATAATTAATTAACATTCGAAGTAAACATACTTGTGTTGTCCCACTCTAACTGATTTACATTTGAAAAGCCTCCTTTGACAACTATAAAAAAAATGACAATACGTTATTACATGCTTTTTTACAATTTTAAAATTGTGTTATTAAAGAAATTTTATTTTATTTTCCATTACGATATTACGATATCAATTCCATCCATAGAGGCCCTAACCAAGGCTGACAAGAAAACCTACAGGAATTTTAAAAAAGCAAACTGGACCCTTTTTAAGGATGTCTCCGAACACTTCGGCAATATTTTTCTGTTCTCTGATTTAAACAAGGCAGAGAAACAATTTCGCAGCATTATCTTACCTATTTCTGCAGGTAGGATAAAGGTTATTAGACCAAGTTTACCTAGTGACGCTGTACCCTTGTCGAAGAACGCGGTAACCTTCGTGGACTTGACCCAGCCAATCCACACATAAAAACATTGAACAAAAATATCAATGGTGGATGGACACCGCCTTAGTAAATAGAAGAAACAATTAAATAATTGCAATTTTCAAAATGGAAAAATGTGGAGCACCATTAAATCATTATCTATTCTATCAAGGCGATAACATTTAATGCAATCACATTATCCGATCCCATTGCTTTTGCTTCCTCTGATATTCGCAAACTGAAACGCGCTTTCCAACGACACAACCCCGTTCTCCCCTGATAATGTGCTTAATGTGATCAGACAAGCCAAGACCTCGAAGAATTTTGGGTCTGATGGCACCTGAGAGCTCATGCTCAAAAACCTCGGGACCATTGGTGTCTCAGCTCTGATACATATCTTGAACTCCTCCATCAGTTCGCACATCATACCAAACATATGGAAGACTGGTAGAATAATCCTTCTGTTGAAACCGGGCAAACCGGCTGGCTTAGGTGATCATATGGGCCGATATCCATTCCATCTCCGATAACCAAAGTTCTGGAGTCCCTTGTTCTTAAACAAATATCCCCACACATTGACCTAGTCCCTCTTCAACACGGATTTCTGAAACGCCATAGCACACCCTCGTTTTTTGCGAGTTCACATTTCAAATCTCTAATGGCCTAAACCAAAGTGGGCCGTGTGAACGCACGGTGCTAGTTGGCCTTGACAAAGTCTCTCATCACACCTTGTTAAATGACTTGGCTGAAACATCTATCACTGACACAACAAAAGATGGTTTTGTAGCTATCTCGTAAGCAGATATAAAGATAAAATGTCATAACCCAGGAAATTGAAGCAAGTTGTCTCCCAAAGCAGAATTCTCTCACCAATCCTCTATATATGTCTAAACTCCAAGACCTGCCTGAAGGAGTTAGGGAGTTATAACGTATGCAGACGATTGCACAAATCTAACTATGGGCTAAGACTACTGTATATTTTGGAACAAGCTAAATGCATAGCTTCCCTTTGTGGCATCGTTTTTAGATGATAGAAATCTTCATATAAATTCTAAACCACCCTCTTTACTTTTGGACTGAAAAGGTATCTTTGACTCTTCATAAATATCGGTGAATGCAAGATCCCCACCACTAGCAAACAATAATCCTAGATGTCGTACTTGACAGTGTATAGACCTTTTCTGCACATTCCTCTGCTATGTGTGACCGGTTGAAATCTTGTAATAATAATAACCTCCTAGGTTTTACATGAAGCTAAGATAAATAAACCCTACTAAGCACATACAAATCAATAGGTCGTTCGTTCCCGCCTATACTGCTCCAGGATGGACCCCACACTCTGCGGGCTGCAATGGATATACTTCCAATCATGCCAAAATACGTTATTACGAATTGCAACTAGCTGCTGTCGCATGACGCATGTTGACCATCTCCATGCGGAATCGAATATACTTTTTGTAAAAATTCATAATCAACTGCTGCCCAAGCAATATTTCCTTGCATGCCACATACATCGACATTCTAATTGCGCCATACCTCACCCCCCTCGCCCCCTCCTACATGCATTCGTCGATCCCGACCATAGATATATCAACACCTTTTGCAATGGAGCCAACATCAGTGAGGTCAAATATAAACGTGGACTTATAGCCCACGACACAAATACAGTATCCTCTTCGAGACCAACGTTGACATACAACAAGATTCTCAACAGACTTCCGCCTAACATCTCTCAGGAATAACGACCTCTCCCCCGTGCAGCAAGAATTATCATAGTTCAATTAAAAACAAGATATAGATGAGTGACTGTTTACAGTTACTTGTCACGGAAAAACACGTCTATTCCTAATGTGTCCCCAAACTGCAGTTCTACCCACCATGACATTGCCCATCTGTTCTCCTCTCCCACAACGCCCACAAATTTTGGACCAACCCCATTGGAACGACCAGATTTCTCAATCTGAATCTGGGCTAAATTTCAATTTAAATCCCACCCACCCAATCCACCCATTATCCTCGTTCAAAAAATTATCCATTTAAAAAACAATTTCACATTTCACATTGCTTTAACCAACGATTCCTAATAGATGCTTTGACTGCAACACAATTGCCTTACAGTAAACAAAAATTAAGTCAAATCGATTTACAGTACCATTTTAAAAAGATAGTTAAACTCTGTAACCTGGATTAAGTACATGATATTGTACAGAAATACTTATTATATCTACAGCAACTGTAACCCAAATAAAGATTACAATTTGAAACTTAATATTTGCTGTGATACTACTACAATATTATATCGAAAGAGAAAAAATGACTATGTGAATATGTAAAATATTCTAAAATAAAATAAAATAAAATGAGGGGAGTACGATGATATAAGCATTAGATGGCCTGATTACACATGAGGTTAAATATTTTTAACAGATTAAGTAAAAAACGATAAAAAATTCACCAACCTTCTTCGTCGTCTGTTTCTGAATTTTCTGAATCTGAGCTGTCCTCAGATAATGCATCAGTCTGCATGGGATTTATGGTAATGGTCAATGCTGAATCATCCCAAACTAAACTTTCATCAGCTATCTGGAAGTTAAAAGTTATAGTTTTATTAGTAATTGTAATTAATCTTGTCACCTTCGGACACGGTTGATCTCTTCCGGCATATTTATGGTTGCTGTTATTCTTCAGTCGTGCAATTGATATTCCACAAAGTAAAACAACAAGAAATACGCAAATTAATATAATTAACACGGTAGGATGTGAACCTTCTGATTAGAAAAATTATCAACATAAAAATCTTTGTTTTATTATTTGTAATAATAATGCACTAGTTTACCTTTATAAACAATAGAATGAATTTTTGATCTTGGTTCCTGTACATCATGTGTATGCACCATTGCATGAGCAAAAGCTATATTATCTGGAAACATAAATATACGGAAAATTATAAAATAAAAATGTTTGTTTTATTTATACCTATTGATAAATTGACATACCGGATGATGTAGTAACTGGATTTGGTTTAATCAGATTTGGTTCATACAGAGTCCTGTCCACAATAACCGGCGAGTAAGTGCTCTTTACCACAGATTGTTTCGGATGCAGAACAGTGAGGGTGAGGGTGTATTCAGCGCTTTTATATTCAGATGTAATTTGAATACACGTTAGCTTAAAAACCCTATTAAGATAGTAAGCGGGCTTTTTGTTGCTATAAACAAGTGCTTTTAACACATCCATATAATTGGTAATTGTATCTTTGCCAATCATTTCCACACCGTCTTTATTAATATTTGTTTTAATGTCAAGAGTTGATGACAATGATTCATCCCCATCAACTTGAATTTCTTCGTGATCCGGATTAAGCGACGGAAACACAACAACACTACAAGAATCAAGTTTTTGTAACTCTAATTCAATTTGAGATAACTTCGCAACAGTGATATTTATGTGTCCTAAAATATGTACCCCACTCTTTATTTCAGGATACGAAACCAGATTATTGTTGTTACCTGTATTTGGAAAAATAATATGAGATAATAGAATATATGCAATGCATTTATTTTAGTTTGTACCGCTTATAATTAATCTTGATTTTTCCGTATTTACTACTCCAAGCATAGAATTCTTCGCATCAAGTATTACATCATGTTTTTTCGTAGTTTCTTTTTTAGGTGATGTATTAACCCCAATTGTTGTTATATTATTAATTTCATTTATGCTGTTTATTGGTGATATTGGACTTGGTTCATTCACCATAATATAAGTTTCAACAGTTGGAAGGCGTATTGAAGTTTGATTGAAACAGGTCACCGTTGTGTGCAATTCAATATTTCTCCTTCCAATTGTTGGATATTCCTTCGTATTAATATAATGTATACGTTGAATTAGTTTTTCCACATTCATCTTATTGTGACCTTCAATATATATTTCATTAAGTTGTGCATTGGTTTGCACTTGTGAATCAGCTTCAAGTAAACTTTCTGGAGGTGGAACTAAATGCTCAGCACAATTAGTTCCACATTTTATATCATCGGTTGAAAGAACAGAATTTAATGACAGTTTTATTTCTGAAATATCACCAATGAATCCATGTTTTAGTCTGTTCTCTGAACTTTGATAACAAGCACCCACTGCCAATGTTGTGTTAACCCCATGAGCTGCGTGTAATGGCCAATCATCAATAACCTCAGGGTTAGTATGGCGATCTTCGATTGCGGTTTCAAAATGTGTACCATCAATAAATAATTCGATTTTTGCTTTTGATGGATCAACATTTAGGATATAATGATGCCATTCATTATCACAAACTTGTGGTATTTTCCAACGCCATTCAGCAGGACTAAATATATTTAAATTACCATCGTTAAAGTTCCTGCGTAATAGTAAAATTAACCGACAATTACGAATAAATAATGCCATATGATGTCTGTTCATTTTATGGTCATCAGCACTGCATATGATATGCTCTTTAGAGTGTTTATTTTGTGTTGACAAACTATAATGCCGAAATATTGTAACAATACTAAAAGGTTGCGCCGAAAAATCATGTTGAGCAACAGAAGTAATTGGAATAATAACACCTGATGCACCGTCAAACTGAAACAAAGGTTCAAGGCCTTCATCGTAACTAAGTTCTTTAGTCCATTCTACACCTTTCGGAAGAAGGTCAACAAGTGAGACATCATTGGAGCAATTCGTTAAGTCACGATCACACCCGAAAGAAATGTGCTTAGTCTAGAATTTATAATTAAAAAATAATCTATATTACAAATCCTTAATAAATTTGCATTCATTTCATGCGTAATTGATTCAGAGATATTTAAATATAACTGAATAGGGGTTTCTTAAGTTTTACAAGATTAAATAAGGTAGTCAAAAATATGATTATTGTATTTGAATATTTATTATTATAATATTACACACTTTTATTTGTGACCAAAAATTATTATTATAATAATTTGTTATCGGGCTAATTTTTAAATATAAATAATAAATAAGTGTCTTTTTTATTTCTATTTAAATTTGACCAATTTGCCCCATAAATAATTATAATTATAATATTACTTTGAGTTTTATTGGACAATATTATATATGGTAAAATAATAATAAAAAAAAAGAAATTAAATAAAATTTTCGATGAAATGAGAAAAGGTTTATTCAATACGTATAATTATTTCATGCGCAATGCTTTGATTTTAATGCAATATTTCATATAAAACTAACGCTTACGCAAAATTAACGCTTACTAGCAATAACGCTTCCGCTTACATATATCTTTGTAAAATTTATAAAAGAGGGGAGCGAAAAACAACCACAATCTATATCGTACTGAATCCACATATTCGTAGTTTTATCTAAAATCATTCTATAGCTTCCTAATAATCACTGATATGAACTTAAAGCAACTTATTATGCTGGTTGCAAGCAGGTGATGTAACTGGAGCAAACACTTACTACTTCCACAGTTAATTTTCATACAGACGGTATGCAGCATTGCTTATCGACATTGTACAGCGGACACCAAGCATGCAACAAGTTTGCCTATTATATACTTGCTTCGACCATTCAATCAGATGACCATTTACAATTCCACCAAGAGTGATGCAAGTTCTTTCACAGCAGTATTAGTTATGTCCAGTCAATAATGTCAAGACATAATGTACCGTATGTGACATTTCAATATTTTGATGTTTCGACATTGGATGAAGTCTTATCAAGCGTTAAACTCAAGCTAGTTTTCCCAGAAGCTCAATTAAACTGGATGGAAAAGTCAATATCTCACTTTACAAATTGTGTAAAAATAGAGATTTAAGTCATTTGTGCTAAGACTGAATATAGAACTACTCTACAATTCTACTCTGAATATATGCTGAAATCTTCAAACTGTGTGTCCTATCTGAATATCAATTAGTCCTTGAATTGCTGGTAATTGGTATAACTATGAAGTCATATCACCAAATACTCAAATGGACCATCTTTAGTTTTAATTTCCTTAAGTCTCAGAAACCGGATCGTCAGCACTCTTAGGAGCAAATAAACCATCGTTTCTGTACTATATTCCAACATTATTGCATCTTAAGCTATGTTCCTAATAAATGGAGAGATATAACAATCTTCTTTATACCTAAAGCACATAAACCATCTTACAATCAATTTTACATTATAAAAAATCTTTAAAATTTGAAGAGTTCATTAGTTGCTTTTATGGATGTTTTTGCTCTTTTAGAAGCGATATAATATAAAATTTATTTGGAAGCAGAATATCATAGTACGGTGTTTTACTGACAAATTTTCGAACTGTAAAGTATTTCACAGATTAGAGCGTATGACTGAACTTTTTATTAGTTCTAACACTCGATCCATTGTAATATACCTAATATTGCTTGATGTTATATTTACGCAAACAGAGATAAAAATCCTTCTTTTTTTAAACTTAAAACTACTTTAAATATTCATTTATCCCATTTTGACTAAACATTTGAGCACCAATGTGTGCACGGTTCATTCTGCACAAGTTTACTGATGACCAAAATATGTTCTCATCAATTAACACTTGTTAAAAATCACATTTAAACTGTTTTCGGAGAAATACATTGGCTGATAAAAATAAAGACTATATTTCAGACCTAATAACTCAAAACATTAAATTTTTACAATATATCAATGAAAAATCTACTGACATATGCAATTGTCGATAAATAATCCCTATACAGATAAGTATTTTTAAATGAAATCGTAATAACGAAATTAAATTGTAAGTATTTTATAACATTTTATAGATATTGGGGAGAATAGCGCAAAATTTTGCGCACAAAAGAAAACTAAAATTAAAAATTAAATCTTTTTGATATTTTTCATTTATACACAAAAATAGTAACTAACAAAAGTTACTCTAAATTGTCATATTTAATACTTAATAAATTGTTGAAATATTCACATTTCAATTAATTACTTAATAATTAAGAAATTATGATGAAGGTCTCTTACTGTTGTGGAAAAACCATTCTGCTTAATAATTTTTATTTGATCGATATTATTTTAAGAATGCATATAATATAGCTTGCTGACGGAAATATCAAAAAAATATATCATAAAAAATAAAATATTAATAAATCAAAATAATGGAACAAAAATTATCTTTCTCGACAAAATAGAAAGCATACATTTTTAAAATAGTGGGACATGTTTAGTTTTTAATATATTCATTGCACTTTGTATAGTGCATAGCACTGGCTTTTTAAATGAATTAATATAAAATATTTTTTAAACAAAATGTTAATTTGTTATACTTACTTTCAAAGCAATTGACATATGTATATCAATATCGATATCATTGCAGTTAAGATCGCAAAGATCCAAATGCGCGTTTGGAAATAATGGCAGAATTTCTGTTGTCGATGTCTGTAACAATAAAAACAAACTCATATATTACTATCGTTTGAAACAAATGGTTTATATATAAGATCACTTACAGTGTAGTCTATTCTCTCTGGAATGCCTAAAAACTTTGCTTCACAAACACGTTTAACTTTTATGCTCACCATAATTGGAGATGACTCTTTCATTGCGCAATCATATGCAACTACAGATAATATGTGGTTATGTGATACTTTATGGGACAACGGCTCAATATTTCTTATTGAACCTTCGTTATCAATTATAAATGGTTGATCATTGTTTAAAATCTCATATTTGCATACATCACCAAAAATTGGGGTACAATCTTTATCTATAGCTTCAACCCGAATAATTTCTTTATAAAGTTTACCCTCCTCTACCTCAATTACATAAGATGGCTGAATAAATGTGGGAGAGTATTCATTTATGTCAACAACAGTAATATGAACATTCGAAGAGGCTGAATGTGTGCCATCGCAAAATAAAGCAATTATTTCAAAATGATAACTTTTCCGTCTTTCGCAATTTAGTGTGCGCCGTGCTTTAATTATGCCCAAATTGTTTACCATGGCAATCTAAAAAAAGGTTTATTAATGTTTTTATAATAGTTAATAAGATTTAAGTTACCTGAAAGGGAATTTCATGATATGGCTTCTTTACTATCCGAAAATTACAAATTTTCTCCTCATCTACTTTAATAAGTGGAGTTATTTCTACTAAAGTTTCATTTTCACGAATTAACCCATGATATGATTTTTCTAATACATTTTCTACAAATGTATTCAAACAAATAATAATATTAATGAAAATATAAAACTTATTAATACTATTAGTTTTTCTCACCTTTTGGTAACAAATAGTCATCATCATTTTCAGTTAACGTTGGTTGCAAATACCTAAAATTTGCAGAGGAGCCCGTTGCATTGCAAATATTAAGTACTAACCACAGAAGCAAAAGAATATTCATTTTATCCAATAAATAGTTTATCATGTTGATTGATGTCTTTTATGGCACTAAAAGAAATTTCAAATACAAATAATTCTAAATAAGATTTGCTATTTTATTTAAAAACAGAATGTAATATGAAATGACTCTAATGAAACATACTTATATCACTTTTTTACTCTGTTTTTCTTTTCTATTCAATGATCTCTCATCTTTGAAATATAAATAAGTTAGTTAGTCTGAGGAGTTAGAAACTTCATATTTGAGGTTTTTAGCACTGCTTATATAAAGGCATAAAACAAACCACTTGAATCTAGCGGTTAATTTATTAGTTTATTCATTAATACTGACAACAAGTTTTCTTTATAACAAATTTTGCTCTTCAATAGCCGTTTTTTCCAGGATTTTTGCGTGTTCATGTCAGCACGTTTAATTGTTTTTAGTTATTACGAAATAATTCTGTTTTCGCCTCTAATACCTCCTATAGCTATAACCCGACAAATTTGCTTTTAAGGATGCCTTTTTTGCGAAATTGTTCTCTGGCGCTTGTTTTGCTAAGTTTTCATCTGTTAGTAGCATTTTGACTTTAGCTTATTTTATAACATACATAAATAAATATTAACTAACTCTTAAGATAAGATACATAATTTATAATTGAATATAAATTGTATTTAGTAGTGCAGTCTAATATTTTAAACTAATATTTTATTCTCTAATTCTATTAAAATGGGTTATTCGCCTTGAAGGAAAGAAGTTTAAACGACATATATTTCGGATCTACAGAATAGAAAACGATGCTTCTTGTTTAGCACTATGAATGATTCAAAAAAAAAATATTTTTTTTTTAATTGTTATTATAATTAATTACAAAATATAAAATCTTATAACTAAGATAGAAAAAACCAGCGCTAGCTGCCAGGGCCTTCGGGTCGTCAAAAAATTTAATTAATAGAATCTGAAGAGATTTTGTATAAAAAAAAGGATTGACGGTTTATTAAAAATTCCAATAAGCCCTTTTTTACTGAAGAGCGAAATCTTTCATTTTACTTGAAACAGTTTGAACTTAATCGGCATTTTTTTTATTATTATGATAAATTTACTAAAACTTGATTTATTATGATAATATTTTAAAGTATAAATCAAATAAACATCCGAGATTTTATTTATGTCTTCAACTGTTTTCATTAAATCTTGTACATATAATAATTTATGTAAACCTGTTATAAATATCATGGTAAAAGTTATGCAAATATGCTTTGTATTAAAAAAAATTATTAAGAACGTAAACATTCATTGCAAATATGAAATTATTGTATGGAACAAATATTTTTTAATTTATGCTTGTATTTTATATATCCATATTATGCTTAATATGTAATTTTGTTTAATTACTTTTCTTTATAATCACACAAGGAATAAAAATCCGAAAATATGTATATATACATAAAAAAATCATTTTAAGCGATCAATAATTTCACTGCTGCGTACAAGAATGTCCTTTTATTTACAAGTATCTATAAAAACTTTATATACGCACATACCATATGTATGCAAGTGTTTACATATAATGTTATATAATTACTCCAATTATCTTTTTCAACAAAAACATTGCTTTAATTAAGGGATGTATTAAACTGTATATTATATTATGTGTAGACCACATTTAATCGCTATATATATTATGATTTGCATTTAAGGTTAATAAATTTATCGTAGCAAAATATTTGGTTGCTAACATTTAGTCACCTGTTAACGCTTATGATCATTGCACATAATTAAAATAAAAGTATAATTTTGTTAAGTGCTTTAATACTAATGTCATTCAAAAAAGAATGTAGGTAAATACAACAATGTTCTTTCTAAAATATAAGTTTCTCTTTACTTAAATTTCTCATAGATCCAAATAAGACAAAATTGGAATCTATATTATAACACTCGTTGCCGTTGAGTAATATTTTATTTTGGTAATTTTAGTACGAAGCAGAATTTCAAACATTTTAAAAGGCACAATTGGTCAAAATGAAATTTTAAGTAAAATATGCATTTTACCTCAGAATACAAGTAATCCTTAACGAATTAATAGCTAAAGTAAAAAGAATTGGCTTCAATAGTTTTAAAACAGTCAGAATTATTGTTCTCTATACATATTATTAGGAAAAACCTATAGTATGTACCTGACTTTTAGTATATTTTAGTTAAACTTCTTAATAACTTTCTGTTCTTTTTCATTAAACAATAACATTTTAAATTCAATTTGCATAAAAAATTTGTCAACGCACTTCACTTCAACACAAAACCCAAACTTAGCAATGCTTCATTTCAAAAATAATACATATAATAAAATGAAGCAACGTATGGATATTGCACATACTCTTAGAGGAACAAGTAAAAACGGACTACGTTAATGCTGTTAAACACATCGCATAACGCAGCACAGATTGAAAAACTGTTCATTATGTATGTCTATAGAAACAAGCTAATAATCGATTTATTTAGTTTTTTAATCAATTTCAGATAGGAAACAATTATGGATTTCTTTCAAAGAAATCAAAGTATAAATGAATGATGTTTGTTGTCCGAAAACAGAATTTATTTCATTATAAATGTAGTACATTGAATTTCACCTTAATAAAACTGTGATTATATATCGCAATTAACTTACCTCCTAGTAAGTTAATTACCTCCTCCTAATTACGTAGCGATAATTGTAATACTCAAATTAGTGAAAAATAATTTCATTTCATTTTATAATTTCAATAATAATGATTACCGTTGTATCAATATAATTGTTATATTATTACCATCATCGGTGTGGTTAGAAATTAAGTACTTCTCTCCAAGAATATTGATAGTAACACCAAAGAAGATAAAGAAAAGAAACTGAGAGGAAATCTTGAATCATAGTGCCTCTTTGTGTAATATCACAAAACAATCTTTTAAGAATTTTTAATATCAAAAAACCAAAACAAACAATGAAATCCAAACCAAACAAAGTGGTGAGTAGGGACCAGGTGGGCAAAATAGCAAGACCGGGTGGGGAAAATCATAACGCACCATTGTGTAGCATTTGCCTTTTTGTTTTTGTACTACGTGATATTTTCACCTGATTACTCAAAAATTTTGAATATTAATTGAATTTTCTACAAAATTTTATACACAATTTTAGAGTAACTCTCAGTTTTTTTTTTTATTTTCTTTGGTAATACTTTATAGCGAAGTAATTATGTCTTTTGGTTTAATGTGTTAATGTCAGGAACTGCATTCGGTGTCTGTAATTTGGAAATCTAAATGCTTCTAGTTTTGAAATAAAAGTTAATATTAGTAAGATGATCATTAAATCTTCTTAACACATCAATCGCATTCATACTAGTACATAATTTCACGATGTCAATCAAGTTATTATATTATTTCGTCCGGAATGATGGGCGTATTATACGAAAGTTCCTTCAAAGTCTTGTGGTGTCCACCCAAACGTATTTATGATACGTAAGTGAAACCAAAGAAGTGTTTTTGTCTTGGTATAATAAACATAATATGCCAGAATTTATATTCTGAATGAAGGAAATTTGGATCGTAATTAAATTTTAACAAGGAGTTGAGAAATACAACTCTGTAATTGTAATCCAATGTCAACCTATGTTCCACATGAGGTTGACAAGAATGAAAATGCAAGAAGAGACAAAAAGAATTTGATTGAGCAGAAAAAGTAAAAAGATTTTAAAAAGGTTGTTGGCAAAGTATATATAAGTGAAGATTTAAAAAATTAAGCAAATTGTAACTTTATATTATAAATAAAAAAAAATAAAAATAATTGTCTATAGTAACGACAGTCTTTTATTTTATATCAAAATAATACATAACATTTTCAATAAGTGAAGGTCTCAGGACAAAATTCAAACTGAAAACCACTTTTTAAACCATTTTTTAACTAGTTAACGCTGCGATTACATTACAGGAAAATTTGTCTTGCATATTGGTACGTATGTTTTTTCATATGAACACGTAACTTGCTACGGTTACATTGATTGTGAATTAACAGTTCTGCTATATTTATTTTAAAACCAAAATGGATAAAATATATTTAGCAAAAAATCCGCAAAAAATCCGACGACCACATGAAGACGAGACAGTCGTTGGTCAATCAAATTTGCTTGGCGGAAACCTAGGAGAGAGGAATGTCTTCTGTAAACAGTTTGAAGAGGAGAGGGGCTAATTCTGAGCCTTGTGGAGAACACCGTCGGAAATGGGGAAGTTACGGGATAGGGTGGAACCGATTCAAACTTCAAAGACCATATTGGTGAGAAACTTATGGTATTAGGGAGAAACCGAACTCGCAGAACTTGTGAAAAAATCTTAAATTAGACGGTGTCAAAAGTTTTTTCAATCACAAAGGAAGTTTTGTTTATAAGTCCAAACAGCCAAGGTGAGGGAATTTTATTTTCTGAGGAGAAGGACTTGCTTGTAGAATGATGGAAAGATGTTGAGAAGTAAGAAATGTTGCATGGCATGAACTGATACACAATACCAGCTGACTTTCTGGGTGTTTTAAGTTGGAGCATGCCGAAGAGTTTAAAACAAGTCAAAGCTGTCGTCGACATTGAAGCAGACGGCAGGAAACTGTGTGGAGGAGGTGATAATACTTTCTTTGAAAATATTGAAGAGCCCTTAGACTCTCGTCGAAGCTAAGCGTGAGGTGATAGTGTCTTGCAAATAACTCGTCGAAAACGATTGTTTTGTCTGTGTCTTCGTACACTATGGTATTGTAATAGCGTACATCAAAGATGGATCTATTGGATTCACAGCTTTGTCTGATCGTAGATCAGAAGACTTTGGACTGGCAATGTACAGCACGCAGTTTGACACTAAGGGAGTTGAATCTGGCCTGATAGATCAACTGCGCAATAATGGTGTCCAGAATCTTGAGGATAGTCTCTTTTTTTCTTAGTTAAATGTGATTGAGGCTGGGAACAACAAGGGAACTTGATAGGATTTGTGAACACGCGCAAAGAGCGGGGTTAGGAACAGATTTAGTTGTGTTAAACAGAGAAATGGGCTTGTGGTGAGACCTGGCCACCGTTACACTAGGCCTTACAAAATTAGAAGAGCACCTTAGGTACATAAACATAAGGGCAGGGATTTTTTGGATGCAAGCTTTACTGGTACGAGATGGCAAGTCTAGCTGCAGTTGCGGTATTTGGAAATCGTCAAAGGAATTGGACTAAGAGGAAGAGGAGGGAGTTGACGCACACAACGATCGGGGTAGTTGCACTGCTTGGCGGATCTCTTTCTGTGCCTACATATATGACAACGAAGATGTTACAATTACAAAGACCATAGTATAAGTTAACCAGTGTTGACCATGCGTCAGCATAAATATGTAATAAACATTGCAACGATGTCAAGGCAAGTGCGTGTAAATATTGTTGTTGTAGTTAAAAAATAAATAAAAATTAGTTTATATTCAAAATTTGTACAATAAGCAAAATAATTTGTATGTGCAGCTGACATTGTTGTTGCAGTTAAATAATAAATACAAATTAGTTTATATTCAAAATTTACACAAAAAGCAAAATAATTTGTAAGTAAGTCCACAACCAAATATTAATTCAATAAAGAAATTCAGATATAATTCTCAACCAAAAGCGTAACGTTGTTTCATTTAAACGCTCCGCCAACTGGATATTAATAACTTATACAAAGTCTGTTATCGGATATAATTGACAAATTACTATGGTTGGTTAAATCCACATTAATTTTATAATATATATTACTTTTTATTTCATTATACACATTATGAAACGCATACTTTTTCGCATACCATAGCCACTCGTATGTTTATTTACAACAGTAACCAGTTCTTGCAATACCTTTCCCGCACACCAATGCAGATATGATTTACTTTGAAGGCATAATTGTTACTATATAAGACTATCATTTTATACGTAACCGAATAATCTCCATTAGTTAGGCCATAAATAGCAATTTAATTTCTTGGGCTATAAAATATAATTGGTATAACTCTCAACAACAAATTTCCTTTTTTAGATATAGTGAAATATACTGATATATTAATATACACAATTAGTAATTGCTTTGTTTTTACTTATACTAATCGACGTTATTGCATTGGGTTTATATTTATTGCCACCATTATCATACAACAATTTGTTATGTGTTCGGCGACCCAATTTACTTCTACATACATTTTATCAAAACACGAAAAAACTACAATCTTAATTTTTTTAGTTCGTTCCATCTCTAAAGAACATTATAATTACTAAAGTTCTTACAATCATAGACTTCTTTTTGTTCCTTCTCTTTGTTCTTTTACCGACACAGTTCTTTTACAGCTCTTTGTTTACAGGGAAGTCATCATTCTTTCTGGGAAATGTGGGCTATTCGTTCATTTTCATATACAACCTCACTGATCTGCAATGAGCTCCATTGCAATATATGTCGATATATCTATGATTTAAACAGAAGTATAGATGAATATTCAAGACTGCTCGTTGGAATATGTGCTCTATACAGAACGCAAAAAGATTTTGCTTGGTAGAAATTGGTTATGCTAATTACAAGATGTACTTTAGATTCTTATGGTTGTGAATATGCGATATCAATAGCAAAGTTGGGTTCTGACAGGATTAAATGTTATTCCGTTTCATATCGCAGAGCTGTGAACTACATACTAGAGCTGTATAAATCGCCAAAGGACGTTATATTGCTATGTATGTGTTTCTAATCTTCAGGATGATGAGATATGAATTCTTCATCTTTACGCCGTGATCAATCTGTAAGAGCCTTCAACACGTTATTAAATGATTTCATCCGGCTGCACATCGACATGGCATGTGCAGAAAAAGTCAACATGCACTCGAATATATCACCCAGGATTTAGGTATAGTGGTGGATCCTAGAATTACCGATGTTGATGGAAAAAGCAGAAGATATTTTTGTAATTCAAGAAGGAGAGAAAGTTGCGGAAGATATTATTGGTGATAAGTGAGCGCTTCTATCACATCTAATGCGGCTACATTGGAAAAATTTGGGTTTATCTTGTTGCACAATGATATGGGGTTCTGGCACGTAGCTTGAGTTCCGCAATCATCGTCATATGATATGTTATGTCTTCAAATTTCGAAACCACTTAGTCTTGAAACTCCGACATCGGCAGTGGGGTCGCACAAAAGTCCGATCTACCTATCGTCGGCTCTAAAGTAAGCATCCTCACTTCGGAGGCTTCGAAATTCACTCACCCCAAAAAAAAGGAACAAAGAAGGTTCAAGGCGGCTATGTCATCAGATCATAGCATAGCAGAGGCTCTAAAAATCGACACGCAGTACTACTGTGGTGTTTTTCAAGCAGAAGTTATGGCTATCCATTATGCTTTTAAAAGGATTCTTGGCAACCGCACCTCCGAAGAAAATTTTTTATTTTCTCGGACAGCCAAGCTGCCATTAAATCACTGGTAAGCACCTCAGCCCCATCAATTACTACTTAAAATTGCCGTGCTTCCATCAACGACCAAGCTATGTGCGCTAACGTTCACCTTACCTGGGTTCCTGGTCATAGGGATATTGCGGGTAACTGTAGGGCGGATGAGTTTGCCAAGGCTAGAGCTCTTCTCCCTGGTATTCACTTATTAGAAATTGGCGTTCCAATAACGCCAACTAAACTAAACTAATGCCAGCTAAACTGGCTATTAAACAAAAAAATTTAAACATTGCTAAGCAACAATGGGCAATTGAGCCCAGTTGTCACATTTCCAGGTCGATTTGGCCTAACTTGGACAAAAAACGTACGAATCAGCTGCTCCAACTAAAGAGGAATCTGCTCAGCACTACGGTATCGGTGCTGACGGGTCACTGCTGATAGGGAGGCATGCTATGAGACTGGGTCTTCCTTATAATGACCTCTGTCGCGGTTGTAGCTCTGAGGACGAGGAGAAAACTGTGTTCCATCTCATGTGTCAGTACCCATCTTTAGCCAGAAGAAGATCAAAAATCTTGGGTGCCCCTTTTCTGACCGATCTGACTGAGCTGTCATCCGATCATACAATGTGAGGGACTTGGCCACATTCATAGAACTGTCGGGTTGGTTTTCTTTTACCTAATGGGGGAATTGTTGCCTCTCTGTTGGGCGTTGGTCGTATACTGATCACCTTGTCTATATACGAACATCGCTTTTTCCATGTTGTACCACAACGGGCCATTATTTGTGCTCAAGTGGGCTTTCTTGGTAAACAAGGCCGCCACTCCAACCTACCTACCTAGTTTTCGTCATTGATGATGAATCCATGAGGAAGTTGTCCGAACTAAAAGATCGGATTGCATACCGGTTCATTTGAGACTGATGCTTAAGTGAACCACTCCAGCTTTCTCTCACACCCCGTGGATAATGTTCCTAAGGTGGTTTAGGATGACAAAACCATCCAGTCATCCTCGGCTCCCTCAACATCCCATACGGATTGTTGCCCAACAGTGGCTACTTCTGAGGAAGAGGAACTAGACACTCGTCCCTTCACTAGTAAAGCTGTTAGTACTACTAATGGGCGCGGTGCCCAGATTCCCACCTTATAAACAATGCCCTCCACGGGTACAGTAACAGTTGCAGGTACACCAAGCACCACTATCACTAAACCCCCCTTAATCAGTAAAATTTTACCGAAGCAATCAAACGGTGCCAAGGACAAAGGTTCTCAACGAGACAAACGTGAAAGTCTCGTCCGAAAGTCTCTTAACGAAACCAAATGAACACTCTCAGAGTGTTTCAGGCAAATCTGCACTATGCTAAAGGAGCATCAGCCACCCTGTGCGGAATTGCCAAATCAACAACATCGCTCTAGGACTTATACAAGAGCCGTGGGTGTACGGTGGCCACATTAGGAGGGGTCACAGACAAAGTCGTGGTCTCTGCCTACTTCCCAGGTAAAGAAGAGACCGTTCCACTATCGGAAGTCTAGCAAGACTCAGACTTCGCTACTTATCCACTGCCTATCCGCTTATAACGAAATTAGGCAACATCTCTCCAAAGGACATATTGGCATTCTTAACTGCTACTCGTCTATGGAACTAAAGTGGGTAAGTCACAATAATCCTCGAGGATGCAGTGACGCGGTGACTAGTTCCCAACCCTTTTTGAAAATAAAAAAAAAAAATAAATATGCCCCAATATTATGTTTTCACAAATTAGCATTTTTAGCGAATTACATTTTGTATAAAAATAAATAATTAATATAAAATTGAAAATTAAAATGAATGCTGAATCAAAAGGATGATATGAATGTCGGAAATCTCCCAATTTTCAAATTTATGAAATTTTTGAATTTTATTTACATATGCTTTTTGACATATGATTACAATATTCGTTGAAATATCCAATAAGCGTTCACAATAGTTCGCTTATTGCATTCGTGACATTTTTTTCTCTACTGGCCGAAGTGTTTGGGCAGTAAACAACTACTGGCCTATGGCCATGTTATGTAGAGTGTCGCGGGCACGGCAAAATAGGCTCTTTCGCGCTATGCGGAAAATTCGTGTTATGTGAAGTGCCAATTTTGCATTTTTACTACTTTGTCCTTTTTGGTTGTGCCTAAATTTAAAAAGACATGTGATATGCTTTTTTTAATTTGCCACTTAAAATAGCCACCAAGAAAAAATTCATAAAAGCTGTAAAAATTTTAATTTATTATTATATTATCTTATAATAATTGTTAACAGTAATTACAAAATTCTACGCCTTTCCTTAAAATCGGAAAATGTAGTAATTTGATTATTAGTAGTTTATAAAATAGGCTGTGTTGCTAACTGCCATTTTTCTTCCAAAACGTATTGAAATTGAAGGTATTTGCTCCTAAAAGACGCAAATTTTGAAATTTATTACTAAACAAGACTGCTTTGCCTTAGTGCCGTGGCACAAATACGCCGGCTCTCATGTTGGAATTTTAACCGACATATTGTCTTTTCTCTCAATCCAGTTTTATAATTTGCATTGAAAACAGCAACTATTTTACTCATGCCGTGCCCGAGATAGTAAATTTCGGTTTGCTGTTTTTTGCCACTCTTGTGAGCCACCGGAAACGCCTGTCATATATTATTTAACAAAAAATATTCATTTCTGTTGTACCTATATCAGGACAGATAATGGAGAAGAGCTCACAAGTTTCTATAGTGCATTTATAATGTTTGTAATTCAATAAAATAAACTATTTTTACTATTAGGAAATAACAAAAGAAGTGGGACTATGTGGACTCAGGACGGTGAGCAGTTATTTATATTGGCCACATAACGGAAGAAACACATTGAAAAAAAAATTCAATTCAATTTCATAGATGAAAAGACGATATCCGCACGAAAGGGCCGTCACAGGCCGTGACTAGTCACCAGACACTACGTATATTTTTTTATTTTTAATTTTTTAGTTTTTTATTTATTATCAATATAATTTTAATTTGTAAGTTATTAGTGTAATTATTAGTTGAAAATAAACGTACTGAAAATTAAATAATTTATATTATTTTATAAATCATTGCACGTTCTTTTCTATATGCAACCACTGCTAGATTTATTATATGAACAATGTAACATATAATATGGAATAAATTATTTAAATTTTCTGCATTTTTCATGCTTTTCTTCCAACACAAAATTTAATATCAGCTCTTTACAATTAATATGTAGACAAATAAAAGATCTACAAATAGAAATTTTTGACACATAAAACCTCTTTCCCATTCCTTAAGTAGCTTGTGCTAATGTGATCGACCAAAAGCTCAATGTTACTAAGTAACTTACTAAAAAAACAGGAAAAGAAGTGGAAACGTAGTATTATGATCGTGACCAATCGTATTTTATTTAAACTTAATACAAGTTTGGACATTTTGTTGGAATTTAAATTTGTTATAAAATTCAATTCTATCATTATATTTAATTCTGCTTGTAACCACACACAATCACTACACAATTTAAAATATATACATATGTGTGCATATCTAGGTTCTCTTTTGCGAACTTTCATAACTAGAATTGTGTTTGTTTATTTATTCAAATGAATTCTTTTTCAACACTGGTTTTTATTCATATGCTTAGTTATCGTTATCGATGCTATAATTTAGTTTTTGTGCATCACAAAAAATTTTTTCAGAAAGTAAATCGCAATATTCAGAAAAACATTGTGGCATTTTAATGCATTTTAGGATTGCGCGTATATGTTCTTGGCGTTATATTAATTATATATTAGAAGATTTTACTATATGAATGTGGTTGCGCTCAGGTGAAGGTTTAACAATATTGGTTCTAAATATCACAATACCGCAGATTAGTTGTTGTTGAATTGTGTTTTCGAACATATATTATGTCTTAAAATTTAATACAGATTCATTGGATTAATCACTATAAGATGTGGGCGTTCACAATATCTGATTTAAATAAATGGTTTTATATAAATTTAAAATATAACTATTAAACAGTAAAATAAAAGCATCAATATTCCTAGAAATATATACATATGTGTGATTTATTGGAATAGAGCAAATATATAAATCATAATTTTTATTGTATCTTGCCCATTCAAAATTTTTTTTATTGTTTTGGCTGCATACCAATAGTTTTTTAAATAAAGTTCTTAATCTAGTATAGACATCGAACCTTAAACAACTGATAAGGATAAACAGTCAAAAATGGACAAAAAAGTCGCTAATGCGTCTCAACCTCGCATTTTAAAGAAAAAACATTTCCGAGTCAAACATCAAAAAGTTAAATTGTTTCGGGCAAATGAACCAATATTAAGTGTATTTATGTGGGGTATTAATCATACGGTATGTAAAGAATGAAGTCAAAAAAATTTTAATTCTGATTTATTAGATAATTTTATTCGTTTCTTTTTAATTAGATAAATGAGTTGAGCCATGTGAATATACCAGTTATGCTGCTACCAGACGACTTCCGTGCGTACTCTAAGATCAAAGTCGATAATCATCTATTTAATAAGTATTCCTACTGCTAAAATAAAGTTATATATACTAATGTATTGTTTTGTTAGAGAAAATATGCCTTCGCATTTTAAGGTTAAAGAGTACTGTCCACTTGTATTCAGGAATTTACGGGAACGCTTTGGTATTGATGATGTAGATTATCGCGAATCCCTTACACGATCACAACCATTGCAAATTGAATCTTCTGGAAAATCTGGAGCACAATTTTATCAAAGTTACAACAAATTCTTCATAATAAAAAGTTTAACATCAGAAGAAATAGAACGCATGCATGCTTTTTTAAAACAATATCACCCAGTAAGTAATATATTAAGTTTTACATATATAATAAACAAGTAGGACATATGAATTTAACTGATTCATGACAAAAACTGTGTGAATATAACAGATGTCAGTCCAGTTTTTGTCTTTACACTTGAAATCTGATTTAATATAGTCAAATTCTGTGAGTCATATGTTACTATAGACATCTGTGAATTAAATTGATGCAGTGGTAATAGAGAATGCAATTATAAAATATTACTTCAAATTTGTTTGTGTTTTGCTAATGAGGTGTGTTATTAAATATAAATATTAATGAATTTTTAAAAATGTGTTTATTCTGTTTATAAAACCATATTTTTAAATGACCATCACATTATATTACATCCCATAACAAAAGAAATTCGTATGAAACAAGTAATGTGAATAGAAATTTATGAAAACATATACATATTTGAACAAAGTAAGATTTATAAATTTTTGTATTATTTTTATTCAACTAATTTATATTTTATGTTGGTATAAATTGTCCATGAAACCTTAGTATTAATTGCCGTTTTTTTTGTCTCAATACAAATTTTTTGGTATCTTTTTGTAGATAAATACTACATACTAAAATGTGCTTTACCCAATAGCTTTTTTTCTTTTTTTTGAAAATACATATTTGATTTTAGCATTTTTCCCTTTGAATTAATTAGATTCAAGATTCATTTTTTATAAGAACATCATTGTTGTGTCTCTCATCATTATTCCAATTGGAATTATAATGTCTTTGACTTCTTGCAATTTGGCCTTTTTTCTTATTGAATAGAACTTTAAGTAAAAAAAGTACTATACACAATTTATAAAATAAGAATGTGATACAGAAAATTATAAACCATTTAGGGTAGTTAAAAGTGGAATTGAATAATGTAGGTCAAGTTTTTGTCGCTTCTGAATTTTTTAAATCCGTTAATTGTCATTCCCAAGAATTTTGAAAGTCTTTATCTCTGTTCAACGATATTACGTTGTTCTAAATATAATGATATTCACTTTTTTACATGAACTTACTTCGCATAAGGGAATAAAATTTATGCTGCCATAACAGTAAAAAAGAATTATATTTTCTGTTTATTTTTAATTTCTGGTAAAATAATGCAATTAAAGCACGATCTTTGAATTTTTTGCTGTGGTATGTTCTGAAGCACATTTAAATCGGTTGTAACTGTTGTTTTACCATTACAAAATTCGTAATGGGTTTTAATATCGTGTTGGTCGATTAGTTCTATCTTACGGTTTGAATCCAATATATATACAATTTCTATGATGAATAAACCTCATAGATAGAATGCAACAGAGATCTAATTTAGAATATGATATTATATGTAATGATAATGATATGTAATGCGGGATATGTCAAACCATCTTCAATTAATGAACCACAATTGGTTAAGTCGTATTATACAATGTTTGAAATTATTTATGTGAACGTGAACGGATGTCTCGAAATAACATATTTATGTATGTATGATGTCATATCCACTGATGTTGGTACCTTCTATTATTATTATTATTCTAGAAAGAATATGTCTTGTATCTTCTGGTATGTTACTACCATTTACTATTCGACGAATACAATTCTCAATAATACTTGCTTTTGCTATTTACCATTAACAGATCACAAGGACCAATTTTTGAGTAAACAGGGATTCGTCTTTCAAAGCCAGTGTTTAGTTATGGTCAATAATATGTTGCTGTTAGAATAGTTAGTACATTTAGCGTCAACATTTTAACATTTCAGAGTTATCAGAAACAGGGCATATTATTATCAATAGAGTTCAAAACAAAAATTGGACAACTCTACTGCGTTTTGCACTTTACTGCGTTTAGAAACTATAAAGCCACAAATTTTTATTGGGAATCATTTAATAATTTTTCTCAACTGTTGTAGGTTTTTACAAGAGTTTTGAATACTAGATAAAGAATATTTGGTAAACTAGAAATATGTAATATTAAAAATATTTTGAAATATTAAGGATTTTTGGGTAGATTCTTATTGATAGCTTGCATTTCGATACTAAAATGGAACCTCTTTTCTTATAAGATTTTTCGAACACAGTAAACATTCTGATTATCAGGCAATGAATGTAATAGACAGTAAGAAACGGTTTTTGCAGTCTATATCTATATGGTTACTGTATAACTTTCGAACAATTTTATTTACGACTTACTCCGCGTTACGCATATTATGTATTAAAAATAATTTTTTTTATTATGACCGATATTAAAACTGTACTGGTAAAAGTGCTTTATAAACGGGCTTATCGGTGGAAAAATAAAAGATAAAAGCTTCATATTGCAATAACGCTTTATATACATTTTAATCTTCATAACAAAATTCTTAACAATAGATATCAGTATCAGCATTATTTAAATCCACAAGCATAATTTGCTTAACTAGTATAACGTAAATATACTGATTGAACTAAAAATATCAAAAATTTGTAATCAGAACCTTATTTGTTTTGATTCAAAATATACAATATTTAAAAAGTTTAAATAAATAATTAGTGGCAGATCTATATTTATAAAAGTTAACTTATTGTTACAAGGAGCTATGATACATTGTAATCCTTGATCTCAACATAGCTATGCATGGAGAGTGTTATATGTTTTAAAGTTAACAAAGATGAAAACTTCATAAGTCTTATAATATCATCTGGTTCAAAATTTTGTCCTTTATATCAACAAAAGTTAGGTTTTTGGAATTATTAAATTAAATAAATGGGTACACTGGCGCTTTTATACTGTGTTCGGAAGCATTGCCGTCTAGAACAAATTTTAATAAAATGCACTTCTGCCTGCAAAACAGATGGACTAATTCTTATTTAAAAACTAAGTTGAAAGCTAGTTGTATGTACACAACCACTGCTAAGTCGATTTTCAATTATTGAACGCTAATTTTCTACCACCGTATACAAGAATTCCGTATATTATAATGGGCTTTATCATGGACTATATTTTTTCTTGCGTAGTTGTTTATTTCTTCTTATCTTTTAACAAAAATAATTTGGCGATATGAAGTTTCATTGAATAGTAGTATGGAGATTCTATAAAGTATAGTAGTTTACAACTAAATTTTTACATATATAACAAACAAGTTGGGCATTATTACAATGGAACGATGCCTTGTTTCTAGGTCGTACAGTAGAAACTCACAAAGGAGAACCACTTGGTTTTTCGGGTAGTTCAAATTTGCGAAAACTTCTAATATTTGAACTTTTTTTATTTCTATAAAGAACTTACAAAAAAAAAATAACACTCTACATAAAAACTTTATTTTACAGTTGAAATCAATCCATAATAAGTATTATTGTATAAAATATTGAGTAATGTTTGTTTGTTTTTTAGGTTTAGACAAATTTTTACTATGTTATCGTTACGTTATTGGTCTTGTGATCAGTAGGAAACGAATCATTTTTTTTTGCACCAATTTATTAAGATATTGACACATATAGTGTGGCATTAAACTCATATTCAGATCCGTTTTGAACTTGCATTTTTGAATGTGTTTTATTAATGTGCGCATTTTGGGAACTCCCCTATTAATTTTTTTGAAACAAATTACGAACAATAAAATTTATTATCTAACTAATTTATACAAAACTTGAAAAATAAACAGAAAAAAGAATTCCCTCAAAAATTAGAATCAAAAGTTCTAATTTTAGAGTTTTGGTGCATACAATTCAAATTTGTGAGAGTTCTAATTTGTGAGTTTTTACTGTACGTGTAATACCAAGCTTCACCATGTGTTACAATTTTATTGAAACTGCTGCACCTTCTATTTTTAAATTTTTTAAAGCAAATACTGAACAAAATACATATCCGCCGCTTTCTAAATTTGAATTAAAATTCAAGGAACCCATCTAACTGATTTCTTTGTGTATCCAAGACGATTGCTTAATGTTTGCGATAGAGCCATGGTATTGCCATTTAAATCAAGTTTATCAGCAATCACTTTCTGCGTCTACTTTGGATCTTCAAACTAATTCTCCGAGAACTATAGGTTGCTAACCTTCATCCTGTGTAGTGTACCAAAACGTTCATTTTAGATCTTGTGTTTTCGTTTCACAATTTAATCATATTGAGCCATTTTAGATTTATTTAAAAACAATGAATGCACCTACGGTTAGATAAAATGTAAATTCAGCATTTATTCATACAAAGTAGTTCGAAAGTAAAAGTAAGTAAAAGTTATTGAGTTGCTATTTTTGGCATACTTATATGAAAAAATTACTGTGTTTATAAATATAATATTTTAAATAAAAATATTATATAAGCGCTCAGAATTAGGTGTATTGCATAGGAGAGCTGCGAGATATATAGGGTTTGGATATTTTATATGTATATGTGCCTTATATGTCACTTATAGAAATAGTTACGAAAATACAAACTGAAATTATTCCTAACTTGTTTATTATTACAATATCAAAGATTTATATTGTTTTTCTTTAGTACGTTGTCGAAAAGCATGGAAAAACTCTTCTACCTCAATATTTGGGTATGTACAGAATAACAGTGGAAAGTGTGCAATATTATTTCGTTGTCATGCGTAATGTATTTAGTTCGCATTTAACTATTCACAAGTAAGTTATGGTTTCAATTTCTTTTCGATAAATAGCTATTTAAAACATTTAATATTAAAAATAATGCATACATTTTCAGAAAATTCGATTTGAAAGGCAGCACCGTCGACCGTGAAGCTTCCGAAAAAGAATTGGAAAAAAATTTACCTACTTACAAGGATAATGATTTTATTAATCAGAAAATAAAAATTGACATTGGTGAAGAAGCAAAACAAAAACTTTTAAACATCTTAAGCAGTGATGTTGATGTATGTATATATGCCTATAATGCGAAAGATGTACTGATTGTTTCATAGTTATTACCAAATAATATTTTTCTACATTTCCTTTCATTACATTTTTGATTAAATGTACTTCTTTTAGCATAATTATGCTTTACTATTATTATATATGTATGTTATTACGATATCTTAAGTAAATCACACTGATCTTGTTAGTATATTCCTTTGAAATATTTATAGAGAGGTTTCGAACAGTAGCAAACTACAACTAGTATTGCATAGAAAAGAATTGAATTGAACTTTATCAATTTAAAAAAAACTATAATTATTTAACTCAATTATTCTACAATCGGTTTATAATTACGTTCTAATATAACACAGCAATTGAATTTCTTAATGAACTTTCACAGCAAATTAATAAAACTCCAAATTAGAACCAAGTTAAATACGGCTTTGGTCAGTTACCTAATGAACACTGACTCTGAGCTTCAAATTTGACAGGATACGAATTCAATATTGGTATTTGCAGTCTCAAAAAATTATTTACGAATAATTAAATACAAGAAATAATTTTAAGACCACTGAAGATGGATATTTGGCAATACTCGAAATAACTATATGGTCAACCAAAAATTCAAATAATTAATATATTAAAAAAAATTGTTTGTGTTTGTTCTTCGTTACTGTTCGAAACCTTTTTAATCAATAAAATAGTCACTGCTGTCATCAATTATGTTGCTTAATGACTTTAATATTAATCTCATTAATTGGTAATGCAAACTTAAAGTATTAAGTACAAGATTATCAATTTACTCTTTTTAAATTTGTAGTTATGCTTTTATTTTCATAACTATATACTATTGCTTGAATAATAGAACAATAAAATTTTAAGTAAAAAATGGTTGTCTTTTAAATCAGCTACTTACCAAACTGCACATAATGGATTACTCACTTCTGGTTGGCATCCATGATTGTGTGCGTGCTGAAGAGGAAGCGGCACATTGTGAAAATTTACAAACAGGTCGAAGTGAAAATAGCGAAAGTGAAGAATGCGATAGTGGGGAACGGTAAGTAACTTTAAACATTTATTAAATATTATAAATAAATATAAAAAATCAATTATTTAGATGGACATATAACACACCCCCTGATTCTCCTAGAGGAGCACAGTATAAGGAAGTTGTTTACGAAGTTGATATCTATGCCATTCCAAGTATTGAAGGTAAATTTTATGATTAGTAATTTGAAGAAACTAGGTATGTCTTGATAGACAACACTATGTGACAGAAATAAAGTCTTTTAGATTTTTAGAAATTAAATGATGTAAGAAATACGAACTTCTTTCTTGTCTTCAAAAATTTTTTTAAATTATATTTTTAAAAAAACAAAGAAAACTTTACTGCTTTTAATAACAATATTCCTTGGAAAAATATGTGGGTTCCTGCCAATTGATATACCGAAGAGTTAATGAAAACATTCCGTTGTAAGAGATACGAAGCGTTAATTCATTCTAAAAAAGTTGACTGTAGAACTAAATAAATTATTTTATACAAATATATAGAAAAAATACTTTCAAAGAAAATAAAAACAAAAAATAATTTCGAATAAACTTTTAGCTCTCGCTTATATAATTATCTGCCACATTGGCAGCTGACGATGTGCATTATCTTCGATTTAAGTGTTATGCCATGATTCCATTTTCGCCATTTTAACCTGTTATAAGATATACAAGACATGTATCTATCATTATGTTGAAGACTTCATTAACTTTTTTTTAATACTTACCTCATTCTTTCACAGTTTCCAAAGTAAATTTTCTTAATAGCTGGAAGCGTCATCTTGATATGATTTTGTTCGTCATTCACGATAAATACGAATGTAAGGAAATATCGGTAATTCCTCGTTTTTAATTTCGTACTGAGTTAACTAACAGGTATACACAACTTATAACAACTCGTGAGATTTATTAAAATAATTGCACACGAACACACCTTGTGTCACCCGACTTAAATGATGAACTTTTTAGTGTATACATTTTCTCTGCACACTAATTATCAATAATTATATGCAGTTCATATTTACTACACATAAATAAAAAAACACTTTAAAAAATTTGTATTTGATTTTTCTAAAGTGTGAAATTATTACTTAATTATTATTATTAGGTAATTGAGTTTGTGTTTAAGGTGCTCTGGTGTAAGATTTATTACAAAGAAGGCTCTTATTTCGGCCATTAAGATAGCAGACACAAATAAAACAGTTGTCATTGCTATATATACCAGGTTCTGACCACATTGTTATACTTCCAAAAGGCATAACTTTACGCTTGTCACAATCCTAATATCATAGTTTTTTCGACGGTAATCTTTAATATTATGATTGTATAAAATATTTGAAAATTCTATTCTCTTGAGAAAGGTATATTTTATTATTCCCTTGAAAACTCAATTTTTGAATTTTAACTTATTATTACCAGGGATACAGATGGTAATAATCTAGGAGAAAAGCACGCTAAATTAACATAATATAGTTGAAAAATAAAAAATATATTTATGTTACAAAGTTTGTATTTGTTTACTAAAGTATCAATTAATTTTAAATACAATATTCTTTACATAATATATCTCAATCACTTGAAGCTAACATTAGATATGTTCTTTTTTCAGAGCGACGTGAAATATACTTTATAGCAATTATTGATGTATTGACCCAATATGGTGTTAAAAAACAGGTAACATTATTCAAGAAAAATCTATAAAAAAAATTTATTTTTGGTCATTTTAGGCGGCCAAAGCTGCTAAAACTGTGAAATATGGTAGTAATGTTGATGGTATTTCGACATGTGACCCCGACCAATACGCCAAAAGGTTTTTAGATTTTATGGATAAAGCTATAGAGTAGAAATATGTTGTATAACTTGCAAGAAAAGAAAACTGAGACCGATATTTCATTATACATTAATATACATATTCGATATCTATGTACTACATATATTAAGTACGTCGCAAACACTATATATATATATATATCTATGCGTATATATATGTGTTAAAATATACGCATATGCATAAGAATGTTAATTCACACATATAGGTATATGTTGATTACTAATTTTAAATATTTTATAAAATAATTATGTATAAGTTTAAAATGCTTTAAGCATATTGCCAAAAAACTCATTCAATATTCATTATATTTATGCACTTCAAAAATGAATTGTGACTTTGTATGTAAAAGAACAGTAACACTCTTTGTGTAAAAAAATAAAGGATATCAAATTTACATACTACATATTCTTAGTTTTTTTTGTGCTGACTTCAATTTTACTTTTAAATAATACGCGCGCAAGCATAATAATGTTTGTATAGTTGTTATGAAAATTATACTTTTTAAAGAAAACAAATAATAACGCCTTTGTTGTTACCTTAAGTATATAAAGTTTATAATGCTTAACGTAAATTTTGTCTATGCGAAAAATTTATATTTATTTTCGTTTGATTTTGAATTTAATTCCTACATCTTAATGTTTTTATTGTTCTTTATTATTATTCAAATGATTTAAAAAAACGGTCGTATTGAATCTAATAATCAAATTCGTAAAACAAGTTTACTTGTAGTCGTTGCTTTATTTTTTACATCGTATTGCTGAGTACAATCATCTGCAGAAGTTTAGATGTGAAGACTTGAATATTCCACAATCGGTATTCATTTTCTTGTCTTGAATTAGTTCTTCCTAAAACTAAATAAATACGTCTACAAGATATCTGTCTACAAGATAAAAGCAAATCTGTTAAACTGTATCAAACGCTTTTAGCAAAAGCAAGGTCTACTCTTCACATACAGAGGCGCTTTCCATTAAGATTATTTAATTAAGCCCTTCGCAGCACACCTCAAATATTTCACATCTTCTTGATGGGGACTTGCGTTTTGTATTGCATGTTTCGACTGCACACTATTCCCTGTGGTTTTCCAACCTAACAACCGATCAGAGGGGCCTGCAATTGGCTTCCAAAATCGATTAATCCTCTTTTGGTGTTCTTCATGTCGCGACTTCAGCAACATCTCTCTGTCTTTTGATTTGAACAAGGCAGAGAAACAATTTCGTAGCATAATTATCAAAGCTGCCACCATAGCTGTTCCCGCAGGTAGGTTAAAAATCATTAGACTAGGTTTTCCTAGTGACGAATTCTGAACAACAACACGTAAAATAGTGGGCGAATATCGCCTTAGTAAATGGAAGGAACATTTAGATAACTGCGACTACCAAAATGGTTGTGGACTACCATTACCGCACTTTCTAATCCTTCCCATTTCAACAACAAAACGATTTCATTTAATGGGATCACCTTCCCCGATCCAAAGCATTCTTTTCGTGCCCAATGCTTTTACTTCCCATGATACGCGCAGACATATTCCGACGGCACCACGCTGTTCTTACCAGATGATGTACTTAATTTGATCAGACAAGCTATAGCCTCAAAACCACTTGAACCTGATGGAATCTCCATGCTCATGCTCAAGAACCTCGGGATCTTTGGTATTTCAGTTGTGACACATTTTAAACTCGTCCATCAATTTACACATCATCCCTAACGTATGGAAGCCAGGTAGAATAATTCTTTTGTTAAAACCGGGTAAACCGGCAGGTTTAGGTGAATCTTACAGACCGATTTCCGTTCCATCTCCAGTAGCCAAAGTTCTGGAGTTTTTAGTATTCAAACAGATACCTCCTCACATTCACCTAGCTCCTCGTCAACATGGTTTTTGTAAACGTCATAGTACCACTTCAGCTCTTTGCGAGATCACATCTCAAATCTTTAATGGCCTCAATCAAAATCGCCCGTGTGAAAGCACGGCGCTTGTTGCCCTTGATCTCGTAAAAGCATTTGACACAGTCTCCCATAGGACCCTATTAAATGACATAAACATCTATCCCTGACTCTACTAAGAGATGGCTCTGTAACTATCTTGTAGGCAGATCATCCTTTGTTGACTTTAGAGATAAAATGTCAAAAGCTAGAAAATTGAAACAAGGTGTCGTCTAGGGCAGCGTTCTTTCACCGATTTTCTTCAACTTATACATGTCTAAACTCCCAGACCCCCTGAGGGAGTCAGTGTCATAACCTATGCAGATGACTGCACAATTCTAACTACGGGCCAGGACCCTTTTGTACTGTGAAATAATTTAAATGCATATCTTACATCATTGGCATCATTTCTGGTTGATAGAAATCTTCATCTATCACCAAATAAATCATCAGCCACCCTCTTTACTACTAAAGAGGTTTCTTTGACTCTGCCCATAAATATCGGTGAAACCACGATCCCCACCACTACTAAACCAAAAATCAGATTACCATATTTCGTCCTTACAGGTTGATGCTTAGGCTTAAAGTCTTGAGTCAAATGGTTGACATCCTTCCTGTTTGTATGCACCTTGATTTCCTCTCTCTCGCACTTTTCTTGATCTCGTTTCTTCAATCTGGATAGGCACCTCTTTAACTGCCTCATCTTTCGTTATTGTTCGCGTAGCTGCTGACTGCAGGTGTACTATTATATTATTGAAATACACTGATTGAGTATCTTGTCATTACTGATTTTATTTAAAACAAAGTTCTGTATTTATACAAATTTGTTCTAAGACTAATTTTACATTAAGGTTAAACTAATATGTTATCTGTTATCTCTAATTTTAGTGAACTGTATATTTTTAATTACATTTCATGAAAAGTTAAAAAAAGGACGAAGGTCCCGCCATTTGGGATTCTATTTACTTGTAGGCTTATCCTACTTAATTTAATTCTTTATTTATTTATTAAAGCAATAAATAATTACTAAATTTTGTGTGTTGAAATTACACGTGTCTGTTGTTTTATTCTTAGTTTTCCCAAACCGTAAAAAGAATGACAACCTTATTTTTACTCAATAAAAATATTATTAGTTTTTAAAAATTTTCTTTTATGGCCAACTCATCTTATTTTCAATAATTTACTTGTTCGAGTTTGCATGGCCAACTTATATCATTTTAAACATTAATGTGAATATGCAATCGCCACATCACTCCCCTGGCAGTGACTGAGTCATGTGCGATGTCACGTTAAGTCAAATTTAACATATCTTCTTGGAACCTGCACTAATCGTCCCTTTCGTGTTACATTACTAGGTTTGGTATCCATTCGAGTATCTGCCATATTTTCTGTACGTGATGGGCTTACGTCTTCATTGTCACTTGATAAAAATGCTACCCTTACCCGATCAACACTCACCCGCACCGGTTTTCCTTTAATTAGAAGATCATATGTCTTGTCTGCACGCCTCACAACCTTAAATGGCCCATTGTATGGTGTTTTTAATGGTGGGCGGACACTATCATCCCTCAAAAACACGTGAGTAGCATGTTGTAGTTCCTTCTGTAAAAATACCTTTTCATTTGAGTGATTTGATGTAGGAACTGATCGTATTTGAGACATCATCTGTCTCATGTTTTCCACGAATTCATGTTCTGGGAAATTATCATTATTACTTTGTTCCAGGAAATCGCTCGGCAATCGCAAAGTTGTCTCATATACCATTTCTGCTGGAGTTGCTTTCAGGTCTTCTTTAAAGATATTTCGAAGCGCTAACACAATCAAAGGTATTGCATCAGACCATTGATGTTCATGCTTACATTTCATTGCAGTTTTCAAAGTCCGATGAAAACGTTCAATCAAACCATTCGCTTGAGGATGACGTGGACTAGTTCGGATATGTTTGGCACCAATGAGTTTCGCTAATTCATTAAACAGTGCTGACTCGAACTGTCTTCCTTGATCTGTTATGATCTGCTTCGGAACGCCAAGTTGCATGATCCAACCATTGATGAGCGCTGTGGCCACCGTACTGGCATGTATATCCTCGATAGGGACTACCGCTGGCCATCTGGTAAACCGATCGATACATGTAAGGCAATATCGGTAACCGTTTGACGATGGTAGAGGCCCAATGAGGTCAATGTGGATTACAGCGAACCGCTCACTTGGTACGTCAAAATTCAAAATTGCTGATCTATTATGTTGCGTGACTTTTGCTCGTTGGCACGGAAGACATAATTTAACTCGCTCCGCAATGTCTTTTGCCATGCCCGGCCATACGAAACGTTCTGCTATTTGCTTAATAGTGGCTCGCCGACCAGCATGTGCTAAATTATGTATTGAATTAAAGACACGTTGTCTAAACTGTTCAGTTACAAAAGGACGCACACGATTTGATGATACATCACATGCAATTTCCTTAGATGCATTTGGAATGAGTATCCATTTCAGTTGAAGTGCAGATTTATTCGTTTTAGACAGAAAACCATTTGTTTCAATGTCGGTTTTCTGGCTTTCTGCTAATTGATCAAAGTCAACTAGGTCTTCGTTGCTGATAGTTTCGATGCGTGACAGAAAATCAGCTACCGGATTATTCTTACCAGCTATATGTATAATGTCAGTTGTGAATTGACCGATGTAATCTAAATGCCTTAGTTGGCGTGGCGATGCCTTTTCCGGTTTCTGTCGAAATGCATACGTTATCGGCTTATGATCAGTAAAAATAGTGCAACGTCTACCTTCAATCACATGTATGAAATATTTAACGGATTGGTAAATCGCGAGCAACTCACGGTCGTACGTGCTGTACTTGGCTTGAGTATTCGTCAACCGCTTTGAGTAAAACCCCAAAGGCTCGACTTGTCCGTTATTGATTTGATTTAATGCAGCGCCAACAGCTACGTTACTGGCATCCACGTGAAGTACAAGGTTTGCGTTTGGAATTGGATGAACGATTGTTGTTGCATTAATTAAGGCTTCTTTGTATTCCGCAAATGCGTTATCTGCATCCGCGGTCCATTCAATAACAGTTTTGTCCTGTTTTTTGTTACCCTTAATTAAGTTCTGAAGCCGTCTCTGGATCTCCGCCGCTTTTGGAATAAAACGTCGATAAAAATTGATAATTGCAATGAATCGCCGTAGCTCATGCACTACCTTTGGTTTTGGAAAATTTGCAATCGTCTCAATTTTCTTGCCTGGGGGACGAATTCCTTTATGATTCATGAGAGGACCTAGGAATGTTACTTCTTCCTCTGCGAGCACACATTTTGCAATGTTTATTTTCAAACCATGTTCTTGGAGACGTTGTAGCACGCTGCGCACATGTTGTATGTGCTCGTCTATGTTATCGGATGCGATGCAAATATCATAAATATAACATATGGCAAACTTAAATCCGAAAAGAACTTGGTCCATGAACCTTTGAAATGATTGTGCTGCATT